TATCTCATTCTTTTATGTCTACTTTTATGCATTTTATAATGTAGATAGCTTATTAGTAAACAATTTGTGATTATAATTCATAAATATATCAATGTTGTAGGTATAAGCAAAAAGTACTTTACTGAGAGGGACTGCTATGTGAAAAATGTTTAGACTACTGGGCTAAACAATAACACTTCCTTTAACACACCTTATTGGTGCTCTATGGACAACTCTTACTAAAATGTTTCATTCTAGACTTCCGGCCAAGATGGAAGCATAGGTAGACACACTGTGCCTCCTTACACAACCAAAATAAGGACAACAAAAATTTAGAAACAAAAAAAAACCAACCAGTACTGACAGAAAACTGAACTGTATGAAAGTCCAACAACCAAGGAGTTAAAGTAAATACATTCATCCAGACTGGTAGGAGGGGTGCTCAGGTGGCCAGCTGGAGAGGGCTTCAGGCAAAGCAGCGGCTGGTGGACCCAGCAAGGTGGCTATTATGGAGATGCATGGTGGGCAAGGCGGCTGGCAGACCAGGTGGTCCCATATTTGCACGCAGATAAACCAGACAAAACTGAGGAGTGAGACAGACCACACAACCCAAGGTTCCAGTGCAGGGAAATAGAGCCTCAAAACACTGACTGAAAACACCTATGGGGGTTGAGGCACAGAGAGAGACTCCTAGACTCACAGGAGAGTTCATTGGAGAGACCGACAGGATCCCAGGATGTACACAAACCCACCTACTTGGGAATCAGCACCAGAAGAGCCCAGTTTGCTTGGGGGAAGTGACGAAAGGGACTGAAGTCCGACAGAGAGCGGAGCAAGCGCCATTGTCCCTCTCAGACCCCTCCCCCACATATAGCATCACAGCACAGTGATGTGGGCTGCCCTGCCCTGGTGAACACCTAAGGCTCTACCCCTTACTATGTAACAGGTGTGTCAAGAAAAAAAATGGCCCAAACGAAAGAACAGATCAAAGCTCCAGAATAAATATAACTAAGTGATGAAGAGACAGCCAACCTATCAGATGCACAGTTCAAAGCACTGGTAATCAGGATGCTCAAAGAATTGTTTGAATATGGTCACAAATTATGTGAAAAAATGAAGGCTACACTAAGTGAAATGAAGGAAAATGTACAGGGAACCAATAGTGATAGGAAGGAAACTGGGACTCAAATCAATGGAGTGGACCAGAAGGAAGAAAGAAACCACCAAACAGAAAAGAAGGAAGCAACAAGAATTTAAAAAAATGAGGAGGGGCTTAGGAACCTCTAAGACATCTTTAAACATTCCAATATCTGAATTATAGGGGTACCAGAAGGAGGACAGGAAGAGCAACAAGTGGAAAGTTATTTGAACAAATTATGAAGGAGAACTTCCCTAATCTGGCAAAGGAAATGGACTTCCAGCAAGTCCAGGAAGCTCAGAGAGTCCCAAACAAGTTGGACCCAAGTAGGAACACACCAAGGCACATCGTAATTATATTACCCAAGATTAAAATGAAGGAGAGAATCCTAGAAGCAGCAACAGATAAGGAGACAGTTACCTACAAAGGAGTTCCCATCAGACTGTCAGCTGATTTCTCCAAAGAGACCTTGCAGGCAAGAAGGGGCTGGAAAGAAGTATTCCAAGTCATGAAAGGCAAGGACCTACATCCAAGATTGCTCTATCCAGCAAAGCTTTCATTTAGAATGGAAGGGTAGATAAAGTGCTTCTCAGATAAGGTCAAGTTAAAGGAGTTCATCATCACCAAGCCCTTATTAAATGAAATGTTAAAGAGACTTATCTAAGAAAAAGAAGATAAAAAACATGTACAGTACAATGACAGCAAACTCGCAATTATTAACAACCACACCTAAAACAAAAACAAACTAAGCAAACAACTAGAACAGGAACAGAATCACAGAAATGGAGATCACATGGAGGGTTAGCAACAGGGGAGTGGGAGTGGGAAGAGGAGAGAGGGGGAAAAGGGACAGAGAATAAGTAGCATAGATGGTAGGGAGAAAATAGACAGGGGGAGGGCAAGAATAGAATGGGAAATGTAGAAGCTAAAGAACTTATGACACATGGACATGAACCAAAGGGGGGTAATGTGGGTGGGAGAAGGTGTGCAGGGTGGAGGGGAATGAAGGGGGGAAAACGGGACAACTGTAATAACATAATCAATAAACTGTATTAAAAAAATAAAATCTTTCATTCTAGTTGTTTGGCTAATAACATTTTATATTTGTGTAGTGTTTAAATGATAACATAATATTCTTATTACTAAAATCAGCCCTCGCACTTGGCTTTCCTATTATATTGCTGAACTCTATTTTCTCATTTAGGTCTATTCTTAAAGACTGCATAATTTAAAAAAATTTTTTCACTTTACTTGAAAATTAAAACCAAGTAAACAAATATCCTTTTAAAAATAAATGACACTCAGAAAAATTTCAAACACATAAAGCACTTCCAAAGTACAGGCACTATTCTAAGTTTTTCACATTGAGTCTTCATAGTGTTATGACTATAAAATCAGATCATACTATATTCACTTTAATCAAATTAATTATAACTTTAGTATTTTTAATAAATAGGGAAATGTACTTTGTAAAACTCAACACAACTTTACTATTTCCAAGAAGAGGCTCTGAAGACATTATTCTCCATCCCTTCCACTTTCTTCATCTACCTGCTGTCAAGGAATCCCAGTTATTAACGGTGTGGCCTTGGAAAGGCAATGTAACCTCTCTGTGCCTCAGAATCCTTATCTGTGTTCAGCTCATCCAGCTCCGTCCCAGGCCCTGTTCTTGGCTGGGGGATAGAGAGGAGAACAAAAGACAAGATCCTGTTCTCAAGTGAACAAAAGACAAGATCCTATTCTCAAGGAACCTATTAGATAATACCAGGAAGGCACCTGGCCCAGAAGATAACCACTCATTAGGTTAGCCTTATAATTTCCCCAAACTAAGGGCTACCTTAGTTAGTATTATCTTAGACCTATTTTCATTTTAAGAGAAATCCCATTTGCCTTATACTTCCTAGCCCCCAACTGTTTCCTAGCCAGACAAAAACAGCAGAGAAGGCAGGTAAATGATTCATGAGAATTTGGTGCCAGCAAGCATGTTGACTCTCTACCTTTCCTTGACAAGAACTGATGCAAAGCTCTACAGATCCAACCAGCAATTGGCGGTAAAACATATCACAGCCAGGAACCGGGTTCTGTAAAGAACTTTCAATGGAGAGCATCCTGCTGATCCTCACAGGACTACTTTTGACAAGGCTGATACAGGGCCTTTTGCACCTGGAGGCTACGGTGAGGAGCTGCTGTGCCTCTGACCGCTACGAAGTTTAACTGCAGAGCAACTTCATTCCCCGCAATGCCGGCTTCCAGGCTGCCCATGCCAGGACCTGCCATGAGAACATCTCTTTATTTATTCAAAAGTATTATCTAATCACAACCACAGGCCATGCTCTCCATGGCCACCACTGTTACCCAGAAAGCACTGCTCAAGCAGCCTTTCAGTGCTAAATCTAAAACCACTAGCAGAAGGAAAGAATTCTGCTGATCCAAAGTAAACACATGGAGGAAAATGGTAACAGGAACTCCTAAGAGAGCACTTCCCTCATAAACAGTTTAGATCACTTCACAAGCACCTCACTGAATTTAAGTATCTGAGCAGGCTCGCCTCTCCAGCCAGGGGTCACCAATGTCACTGGCCACCCCTGGAGACAGGATACACCTTAGGATTTTGGGGTTACAACCTCAAAAACGTCTGTTTCCTAATGTATGTATTTCATACTGTTCTGCTAAAAAGAAAGAAAATCAGCAGCAAAATGTTTTCAGTTTGCTGGTGAGCTGCAAAGCCAGGGACTTGGCCACCATTTGACCTCACCCCTAAGTGTCTGCTCTCAGCATCAGAAATAGCCAACCCTCCTCACCACTGCCACCGCCTCCTCCCTGTGTTCATGCACCTAAAGTCAGTATCAGGTTGCTGATTTCAGACTTAATGGGAGGAAGGGAAGTTGGGAGGGAAAGCGGGAGGGAGATGAGAAAGCCGGTAGAGACTGAGCCCCATCTCTGTGCTGTCTGTTACTCTAGCCTCTTCTCCCACCATGGATCCCAAATCTGGGAAGAATCTTCTACCAACAAGATTGTCTGAAAACAGCAGACACCTCACCCCGCAATACTGGGCACTCAAGCTTCTGTGGAGCTCCCAACCTCCTTCTGAGACCAGGTCAGTTTTACCTGGACCTTCCACCAGTCCCATCACTGCTGATGCCCAGTCCAGACCCGTGAGGACCATCCTTGCATCTGACCTCTCATCCCTGTGGTCCTGCTGTTCCCCGGCCCCCACTCTCCTCTCCTCACCCAGCATTTTTCCTCTTGCAATCCTCCCTCTACCAACAACCCCTCCCCCTCTCCCCCCACCTTTCTTCCCTTGTTACATTCCCTAGGGGTTACTAGAAGAGGCTTTGGAGCCGGGGGTTCTGGCAGTGCACAGTATCCACCGTTTTCTGGGTATATGACCTTGGGCAAGTTGACTGATCTCTTCAAACCTGAGATGCCTCATCTGTCCAGTAGGGTTTATCCCTGAAAGTGACCAATAAGTTAAAAGTACACATAAAGCATTTAGCAAAACCCAGCATACATTCATATATTTAATAAATGCCCATTCTGTGCCAGAAAAATGTTTCATAATGGTAACGTCATTTTCCCTCCATTCCTTTTAATTATTTACTGTAGTAAAAATATATACAATGTAAAATGTATCACTTTAGCAAGCATACACTTTGGTGGCATTAAGTCCATTCACACTGTTGTACAATCATCACCACCGTCCATCTCTGGTACTTCCTTAGCTTCCTAAACCAAAACTGTATCCATTAAACACTAGTTGCCATCCATCTCACCCCTTTTGGCAGGGCCTCTCTCCACTGGGAGGTGCTGGCTGAGCCCATTCCCTTCCAACCTTATATAAAAATTCATCCTCCTTTGAGACTCTCAAAATTCTGTCACCTACCTATTTTTGGTAACTTCTGTTCACCAGGAAAAAAAGGGGGAAGGGACTTCGTTCACAATTTTCTCCTTAGCCAGAGGTCAGCTCCTAAAGAAACAAGAGCACAGGGGTGAGGGAGGAGGTGGGTGGAGGGGCCTGGACACCCCAGACTAGAATTCCATTATTTATTAACTCTGTGACCTTGAGCATTACTTAAGCTCTCTGGAGGTTAACTTTCCTCACCTATAAATGGGGGTAATCACTGCACCTATTCACAGTTTGAAGCCCTGAGAGTGGGGCCTAGCACACAGCCCCTAGTGCCTCCCCTTCCTCTCACTTGACTGATCTTGAGCCTCTAATCCTTGGCTCCTGATCCTAGTCAGCCATTCCCAGGCCATGCCTTAGAGTCAGAGGGCACCATCCAATGGTCTTACTCGCTGACCATAACTTCCTGTCCCTGTGGTGCTGACACCCCCCTCACTCCCTGGAGTGTGTACCCTTCTTCATTCCCTAGCAGTGTGGACCCCACTGTTGATCACCTGACTCACCCCATGCCAGCACTCTCCATTCTCAGAAACCCTCTCCTTTTGTCTCACCGGTGGGAATTAATGTCACAACTTTGCTTCCCTATACCTGAACCCTGGACCCAAAGTTCCCAAAGAGAAGTCGCACCGCTTATGGAGAGATGCCACTACATCTGAATGTCTCTAATCCAGAAAGGCTCTCAGTACCCTAAAAAAGTCCCTTCTATTCTCAACGACCACCTCAGTCTTTCATCAGCATTCTCAGCACCGCTCTAGCAGATGCCCTTTCCCCCATTTAACCCAGAAAACCAATCCAGCAAGCCCGATACTCTAACACTGCAACTTGCTTTCCCTGCTCCTCACCCACCACGCATCCACAGGCACAGCCCTGGTTGCTTGTCACTGCTATTCCAAACCAACCTTCCCGTCCGCCCCTCCTGCAGCTCCCTCCTGCATTCCACACTGCCACCACACTTACCCATCTTGTTCACACACACACACACACACACAGAGTTCACCTTCCTTCCACGCCTCAGCTGTCCTCTCTGCCCAACCCACACCTGCTCACCTAGCTACTCCCTTTAATGAACCTCAAAAATCACCTCTTCCAGGAAGTCTACCCTCATTCCTCCTCAGATTCCTCACTTTGCCATTTCCTCTGTGTCCTTCCCTGGGAAGAGAGGCTGCTACATGATCCATTACGAATCCTCAGGGCGTGGCACATGGGGGGAGAGGTAATAACTATTGAATAAATCAAAGAATGAATGCAACAGCCCTGAAGTGTTTTATTAAAATGTTTTATTAAAAACATGACCAATTATAATTCATCATCAGCCACTAACACATGATGCTATACATTTTCTTCCTGTGATCTAAGCTGAGAAACATCCCTTCCCCTTTTCCCAGAACAAATACTCCTTTGATGAAAGAAAAAAACAGAAACAAAACACTACTTCCTCTTCAACGAAAACAGAAAATCTAAAGAAGCAGTTTATGAAAAATATCTAGCTGACACTGGGTCAGGTGTTGTCCAAGCTGAAGAGGAGAAAGGGAAGCTCACTTCGGACGGCTGTCTGGGGAGGCGCCGATACTCAAGTGCTCAGTAAGAAAACTGACCGTAATAGTAAGTTTCAGATCTATTCATAAGGCAAGGGAGGAGGAGGAAGTGGGTAACTCCAATAGAAATTTCGTTCCTTTGTTTAGTTTTACTTCAGGTACAGTTTCTATACTAATTTCTCGAAACAAACTTACGAGGATTTATTTTATAGGAAGTAATTTTGAGGGGCCCCAGGGAGCTGCCGATGGTACCTCAGGGCCCATCTGTTTTAGGATGAAAGCTTGGCATACACCATTACATCACTCTGACCTTCCTCAGCAACTTCCTATCTGACAAAATCTAGATGTTTGCTCTGTCAACAAGATATTTGTGTTTGTCCCCAGCCTCCAGCTTTGGTTCCTCATTAGTTTTAAAATCATTATGCACCCAAGCTGAATAGGACTACTGTTAGCAGCTGTGAGGTCCTCTTCTGGGCAACTCCCCAAGTCTGTGGCTTCGGGGCGTGATTTCTGTCCCTTCCGGATAATTACACACTCTTCTGATTGATGAGCTGATCAGTCCCACCCCCACGAAGAGCTGAAGCAGCTCTCTTCCTGCTCTATGTATTTTCCCAGAGGACCAGAGGGGAGGGAAGAGTGGCCGGGGCCCTCACCCCAAAGAACTGCTCAAGCATGAGCAGTTCGAGCACTCAGCACTGGCCCTTCCAGCCATCTGGAAAGCAGTCCACATTGGTTAATGCCAATGCAGGGACTGGAAACACAGGGCGAGAATGGATGCTAGTTCCTGAACACTCACAGACCCCACAATGGCCCAATGCCCACCACGCACAGAACCACTTCAGTCAAGCACGTACCCTACTCACACACATCCTTGATCACCTCTGAAACTGCCACGTGACCTGCATCCTCCACGTTTTCATCCCTCCTCTCCGCTCAGCAGGGCCCAACGACAGACACACTGCCAACTCCGAGTGCCTGGTAGGTGCTGGACAGCAGCCGTGGCAGAAGTGACACGTTTTAAACAGGATTTTGGTTTTTTATTTTTTAGGGGCAAGGGGATTATGTATTTTGATGTTTGCAACTTACTTTGAAATAGTTTTTAAAGTAAGGTAGATAGCTAGGTGGGTATGTAATAAAGCAGAGATCAGAAACTCTGAACTGTAGACTCTTGGTTGTGTGCATGTGGGTATTTACTGCACACTGCTTTCTACTTTACATGGGAGTGTTTTCCTAGTTAAATATTGGGGGGACATGTTTTTAGTGTCTTTTAAAAAATAATTGAATTCCATACTTCATTTGGGTTTCACCAGTCTTTCCACTAACGAGTATCCTTCTTCCGCTCCAGGCTCCACATCCAGGACTGCCGTGTCTCCGCAGTCTTCGTGGGTCTCTTCTCCGTGATGGTCACAGTTCTGAGGACACTGGTCAGTTACTGTGTCTAATGTCCCTCAGCTGGAATCTGAATGAAGCTTTGCTCACGGTCAGATGGAGGTTATGAGTTTTGGTGGGGAAACCACAGATACAAAGTGCCCTTCTCATCATGTTATATTAAGGGTACATGCCAATAACATGACTTACTGCTGGCGATGTCAGCCATGATTATTTGGTTAAAGTAGGGTTTGTCGGGTTTCTCCACCGTCACTTTACCTTTACCCCTACCCATACTCTATTCTTGAGAAGTGGGTCACTAAGTTCAGCCCATACATAAGGTGCGGAAATTCATCCCTAGCACCTGGGTAAGTAGCTACATAAATTATTTGGAATTCTTCCATAAGGAAGACAGTTCTTCTCCCCATATATATTTATGTGTATTTATTTCACACTGTGGGTTATAATGCAGTACTACACTGTTTATTGTAGCTTAAATCCTTCCAACTTTGACTATTAGGAGCTCTCTGAGGTTGGTTCCTATGTCCTCTGACATGCCCACATCCTTTGTTCTTTGAGCACTTCCTTACATTCTGGCAAAATAAGATGCTCCGGGCCTATAACTACCCATTTCTCCCAGGATCCCTGGTTACTTTTATTGGAGAATGGTGTTTAGAAACCAAGATCTTGGCGTGTTGTTGCTTCTGGGTGTCACTGCTTCCAAGCCCTCTCCATGGACAGATCTAGGAAAGGCATCTAAGTATACAAACCCGTGTATGCACCACACATCTACAGTGATTTCTGTATCTATATTAAGCTAAACATAAATTCATACTGATGTCTCCAACTCTAACCTAATCCTGTATGGCTCACTGTGGCCTCTTGTCCTGGCTTATCTGTGACTTCCCTCTCCGACCGTGGGAAAGCTGGCTCTCACCATCTACCATCCACTTACTTATTTGTTCGACTCCTGAATACATGCATATCCCATACATCCATGAGAAACTACCTTACCAACTAGGGTACAGTGTAAATGTACAGTTCCTTTTGCCTTTAGCCTCACAGTGTCTGATCAAAACACTATTTCCAAGTTACTCAGGTTCATGCCTTCTGTCCTCGCCCCCTTGCTGAGGCTCTGTCATCCTTGTAAATCAGGTAGATTCTTTGTCACAGTCTGCAATCACCCTGGGACACACACCGCCCCCACCCCACACCCCTCTCCGACTTTTTGTTTTAATTTGTATACAGTTCTTGCATAAAGTCCTTTTTCTTTTCTAGTTTTATTGAGATATCACTGACAAATAGAATTGTAAGATATTTACAGTGCATAATGCGATGTTTTGATAATATATATACATTATGAAAGGATAAAGATTCCTCCCAAGTTAATTAACAAATCCATCTCATTTATCTACTTTTTTGGTGGGAACATTTACACTTTCTTTGTACATTTAAATTCTATAACATTATACAATACAGTTTTTGTGAACTAGTCACATGTTACATGTTAGGTCCTCAGACCTTATTCACCTTATAACTACAAGTTGTACCCTTCTACCAAACACTCTAGCTCCCCCGCCCCCAGTCTCTGGCAACCACTTTTCTACTGTTTCTATCAGTTTGATTTTTTTTTTCATGATTCCACATAGAAACAATAACATGTACTGTTTGTCTTTCTCTGTCTGGCTTACTTCACTTAGCATAATGCCCTCTAGGTTCATCCATGTTGCCACAAATGATGGGATTTCCTTCTTTTTTAAGGCTAAATATTATTCCATTGTTTATATATACTCTGTTTTCTTCATTCATCTGCTAATGGATGCTTAGGTTATCTGCTCAAGTTCTTTACTGCCTATTTTACCCAAGTAAGTAGTCTATTTATCTGACATTGCTAATAGTGTGCATGTTTTATTTTATCCTTACTACTTCAACGCATTTCTGAGTGTACCCTTCAACACCTACATTTCCAGACCACAGTGATTACTGGATACTAATAAAGTAAACAGATTCTACAAGTTTATTTTTTAAAACTCCTATGTTAGGTTGATTTTAACCCAGTTTAATTGCTGTAGGTCTTTCAATATAACTGTAGAAAGTGAATGTTCATTGCATTGTTATTTCAAATTCAATAATAAGTAGTTAAAAATTATGTTACACCTA